GTGTCGGGATGGTCCGCCCCAAGCTTCGTCTTGCGAGTCTCCATCACCTGCACCTCAAGCGTCTCTGCCTCCTCCCATCGGCCCTGGTGCCTGTATGTTGACGCTAGGTTGCCCATGCTCGTCAGCGTAGAAGGATGGTTAAGTCCCAGGGTCTCCTTTCTCGTTCGAGCCGCTTCTCCTCCGAATAACCCTGCCCGTGAATGTTCGCCAATCATCAGCATGTACCGCGACATGTTCGTTAATAGTTCGGCCCGACAATCGACATCGCTCAGCTGTTTGGGTATCTTTGCTAGCACAGGCTCAACATGAGGAAGAAGACTTTCGCAAAGCCCCCACGTCTCGAACGTGCCGGATGGAAAATGATCTGCTGCCAGCTGCAAGAACAGCCGGCTCCATCGCGCAGGGTCTCCATACTCTACCATCCACGAGCGGGTGCAGAACTGAACCAGTGAGTGCATATCGCATAACCCCGCAGTTTTGACCATAACAAGGGAGTAGCTCCGGAGAACGTCCAGGTCGTTCTCAAATTCCGATCCTTCACTGCTCTCGTCACTGACGCTAACGCCCGCATCATCTTGATCGCTGTGGCTATTAGCGGCTGTGTCGTCATACCCGTGCAACATGCTCTCGGGTATGTTTTGTGCTTGAAACTGGCTCATCAGGGCGAGGAGGTTAGCAGCCCGCGGGTGATCCTTCTGGATCCTGTCAAATGTCACCTCCCACGTGACCAGTACGGAGTTAGACACGCCCTCATATCGCCCAAGATCGCCCTTGTCGCTGCGTAGCAATCCTTTCTTCCGCTTCTGGCTCTTGCCGAAGTCTTCCAGGTATGACCGAAGTGTTACTCGGGGCCTCCGGCAATGGATGTACGCCGCAGCCTGGCTGATAGCTAACGGTATGTGATCCAGTGCCCCGACCAAGTCTCTCGCGTCGCTCTCGTCTTCGATTCCGAGCCTCCTCTGCAAGAGCTGGAGCGCCTGTTCGTGCTTCATGACTGGTACCTGCTGGATCCACTTGCCGTTTCCGATGAGCTTCTCGGCTGCGTTTCTACTGCGTGTCGTAATCAGCACCTTGCCGTGATCGCACTTCGGTAGATACGATGCCAGGCCCTCATCATTTGGCGCATTACTGGAGTAAATGCCAACGTTGTCAGCGTTGTCGATGACCATCAAAAAGGGGTTGCCGTCGACCTTTTGTAACCAATCGCGCACCAGCGCAAGTAAATTCACCTCTGCATCAGTCCGCCGCGGCAGGAGAAGCGTCTCAGCGATAGTACGGTAGGATGCTTCAAACGTGTCCCGGGTAGCCCCATGCACCCAGAAAATGCTAGTCGTGGGGAACTCGTCCCGGACATAGCACGCAAATCGGATCGCAAGCTGAGATTTGCTGTTGCAGTTAGCAGAAACCCCTCGGAGAGTATGCAGGAAACCCACCCAAAGCCGCCCATCCCAAAAAGTGCCATGCGTCTAGCGAGGCCGGTGTAACTTTCTTTCATCCATGCCCAGATCTCAGACCGCTCGACAAACTCCGGGTCGCTCGCAAAGCCCATCACGTAGTGAGATCCACTATAGGCAGATGCGTCCTCGGTGATCTTAGGCTTCTGATCCTGGACACTTTGATGGATGCCGACTAGGAGCTCGCTTGGTATTCATTAGTGGTGTCTTATTTCAAAAAGCGTAGCTTCTTTACGTACGTGTGGGTCTCAGCCTTGAGGCGAAGATGGTCCAAACCAGATTCCACTATGTCGCTTCAGAGGAGGCTAGACATGAAAACCACGAAGGGGCTCTACCTACCAGACATGAGGATATCTGTGATCCGTCGCTCCACTTCCACCCGATTAGGCGAGATCTTCCGCAGCAGGTCTTTCGCATACGCTGCCGCCACCATCGCCGCATACCCTTGCCATTCCTTGTTTTTGTGTGAGTCGGCGTAATCGCAGATCCCACGGATGACGAGACAAGGAAAGTGGTTCATTAGACCAGCCGCCTCCATCTCGAAACAGAGAATGCCTCTCTCAGCAGCTAGCGTGTCACGAACCCGCGCATCCTTCATCAACTGGTTTGCGCTAGCGATGAGTCCATAGTGGATCGCGGGGTTGTCGTCCTCCTCGGCCCGTTCCGCTCGGCGCACTAGATGCTCGGGGCTGCTTACACAATCCCCGCCACACACATCCTTATGCACAACGTCCGAATAAAATAGCTTATCATTGTTCGAAGGCGGACGAGAGTACTTTCTCCGAAGACGAGTCTTCTGCGCTAGGATCTGGTTGATTTGCTCGTCGAGGGTGTGGCCGTCCGCCTCGTACTCAGTC